CCCTTCTTACAGAGGTGCCACAGAAAGCAGGATGAACCAAAGTAATTAGCAACAATACCAAAAAGAAATCAACAAAATTACAGCAATAAAACCTTGTCTCTCAATAATCACACTGACTATGAATGGTTTAAATGCACTACTGAAGAGAAAAAGAGTAGCAGATTGAATAAAAAGGTTAAAAGATTATGTTACTAGGTTTTCCAATAGCCCCAAAAACTGTTATACAACTAATTTCAAATATACTTTTCCTGAAATAATCTTTCTTACAATGAGGAGGTTTATATTACTAAGGGAGGATGAAAAAAAATCTATGTAGAGTTGAAGAATTCTGGCCAAAGCACAAACTCTTTTGTGTTAGTTTAAGTGAACCATTCTGCTTCATTCAAGCTTAGAATGCTCAGTAAGGAAATACCATGAAGATTGTCTTTACAGGTGCAGTGGCAGAGCAGAACTTGTAAAGTATAAACAAATACAAAAGCTCAGGTGAAAAAAGATCAGACAAATATAAGACCTATACAGCATAAACAATACTGAAGTTATTCAAATATACTAATTAGCTCTGAGTCAGAACTGACTCAACACAGTCTTGAGGGGTAGGGAGAGAATACAGAAAAGGCGTGGGAGCAGCAACCCTCTAACAACAAACATACCTGGGTTTCAGATTTTTGTTTCAAGATATTATTTTCCAGTAAAAGAAATGGCTCCAGAAATCAGAAATGGCTGGCTACTTCTAAAACTAAGGCAGCAAAGTATGACTCTACAACATACTTCCAAAACTGGAGCAGCAAAGTATCACTCTATAATACCATATTATGACAAAAATATAGGGGGAAAAGTTTAAAAAGTAATAGACAGTTGAGTATCAAAGTAAGTAATGGTGATGTGGAGGCAGAATATCAAACTAAACCACTCCAGGTGACACTGAGCAGAGCAGAAAAACCACAGTTTTCAAGGTTGAAAGTAGACTAAAATAGGGCCATTTCTTCAAGGTGCTGCTGACTGGATTTTAAACCACCTTTACTGTTTGCCATGCAGGAACTCGAGAGGCAGAGTACTGACTATAAAGAACAGAAATGAGGCAACAGATCAAATGATAGAATTCTTTACAATGATATATTTATCGCATATATTGTAGTTAAAAATCATAAATGGCAATTATACATATGGACGTTCCTGATGGACTACGTAAGAATCTGAATGACAGTATGTGTAGTATCAATGGAGAAGCTCAATTATCAGTAATCAAAACAAGACCAGTGCCTGATTATGGAAGAGATTACCACTTGCTCAGCTGCAAGTTCAAAATGAAGGTGAAGAAAATTAAAGCAAGTCCACAACAATCAAAATATGGCCTTGAATCTATCTCACCTAAATTTAAAAGGCATCACAGAAACAAATTCAATGCACTTAACACACTAATGACTGAAAACAGGATGAGTTGTGAAATGACAAAGACATAATCAATAAAGAAAGCAGAAAGTCATTACAAAGCCTGGAAAAATGAAAAGACCAAAATGCTAGAAGAGAGTCTGAAACTTGCATAGGATGTAGAAAACCCAAAACAAAGGGATAAAATGCTGAAACAGAGAACTAAACAGAATATTTCAAAGTGCAGTTCAAGAAGACAAGTTTCTTGCCACTAGGTTACCAGAGCTCCCTGAAATGCTGGAGTCAGTTAGAAAGCCAAAGGGGTTTTCCCTCTCCCCCTGCCCAATTCCTTCAGAGCAGCTTGAACTTTTTTGTTTATTACAATTGATTCTTGATCATATGCTACTTCCTAAAATAGTAATAGTAGAGCATAAAGGAGGTAAAGATAAGTAAACTTCACAGTCGTGATCAAACACTTTGAGGAACAGGTCACTGAACCTGAAAGCTAAAAGACTGTAACTTTAGGGAATCACAAAGTAAACTGACAGAACACAGTTCACAGAGAAAACGTTCTATATTCTATTTGATAAGTAATAATCATTGAGATCTTAAAAGCTTTTAAGTGATATTTCAACTATCTTAGAACATCAGGAGACCTAGCAACAGAACTTCTAAACCACAAATATGTGCAGAAGGCTATAATACAAGGCTCATTTCTGCTGTCTACAAACGGGATCTCCAGAATTTAAGGAAGCACACAGCTATAAGATTGAAAGAGTTTATGCCCAAGATGTAAATGAATTCCATTTAGACAAAAGATGGGTTCATGTATACATAAAGCAAAAATAAAAAAAAAAAAAAACAAAAAACAAACAAAAAACCATACTATGACAGCTGGCTGAAAGATAATCTGAGGAAAGGTACCTGACATCCATGGAAAACAGTACCATGGTTCACGATAAAATCCAAAGCACTCTTCCTGTAAAGACCACTGGAAAGAGAAACCATGTGAAGTTTTATTCCTCAAGGATTTATAGTTATTGAAAAGAAATGTGTTTGGAAACGGGCAGGAGGATGCATGTAAACAGCTCTTAGTCACCCTTTAAACTTGGACTGAACTTACTCCCATGGCTGAACACTTAGCCAAACAGACAGGTCTATAAAGTGAACAATTATCATCAGGAGGTGTAAAATCTTTAGGACAATCAACCACATGAGATCCAAAGGTCAGCATTTGCCCAAAAACAAAATTCAGAAGGCAGGAAAGACTGATGAATAAAAACAAAAAAAAATATATGGTTAGAGGAAGTACAATGTGTGCTACCACTTTATGGGAAGTAGGAATTGTAATCAGCATCATCAAATGTACACTAATTGTTACATAGTACACTACATTGCTCTACAAACTTGTGCTCAAATCATAAAAAAGTGTTTATTTAAAAAAACACCAGTGGATACAGCTTAATTAAACTTGCCCAATCAGTCACAAAATACTGATTAGCCCATCAACAAACGAATGGATAGAGAAGCTGTGGTATATTTACACAACGGAATACTATGCTGCATTGAAAAACAAGGAACTCATGCAATATTATTCAAAATGGTTGACTCTGGAGAACATTATGCTGAGTGAAGTCACAAAAGGACAAATATTGCATGATGCCACTGTTGTAAAACAGGACTGACCTTGGGTTGGGGAGAGACTGAGTAAGATGGGTTCAATAATGTATACTGCACTGAAACAGGAGGGAGAAAACTGTTTAAAAGAGATAAGTGATTAGGTATTTCTGTCATGACAGGAGTCTAGAGCGATGGCTACATGGTGGAGTGGATCTGGGGGAGGGTTTGTAAAACAATGAAAGAATTTTTCTTTGACTTTTCCAAGAGGTTAGTGTTCTGGGGGGATGCCTTGGGAGGGGAGAAATGTGCAACAATGAATGAATGGAAATCCAAAGCCTCTGTAAATTTTTACTGACATTCATAACAAATTTAAAAAATAAATAAGTTAGAGGAACAATGTGATAAAGAAAACAGTGAGAAAGAGAAAAGTCATACCACAAAAAGCTGCTTTACACATGGAGAGATGCATGAAGAGTCCATTTGGGGGAATCGTCCGGAGAGTGGACTCGTCAGAAAAAAGGTGAACTAGAAGACCCTGGGAGTGCCGACAAGATGGCGGACGGGGAGCTGAACGTGGATAGTCTCATCACCCGATTGCTGGAGGAACTCTACTATGCTTAGTGGTAAAAAGATGCACTACAGCCGGCGGGGCCGGGGAGCTGCGGCCCCGGCCGAGAGCTGCATCACTACTGACCTGCCCTCGGGTTGACTCAGGCAATTCTGGTAAATCACCACCTGTAGCAGAATCATCACCTGTACTAGCCACCCCAGAGGAAATCGTTGAGATGCAAAGGAAAAATGAGCTGAAACTCAAGATAAAGGAAGAACATCTTGCTGTTTTGCAGTTTGAAGGCTGCAGCACTTCCATGATACATCTTCAAGGATATGAGCATGTACGGCAGGGCACGGTTGATGGCAGTGCATCTAAATTCCAGGGTCGATCTCCATAATAGTCTATTTGTTTCCCACTGCCAAAGGGGCCCTTTAGAGTAGTGAGAGAAGACCTTCACCCTGAAATCCACAGCGGTCCCATTTCGGCAGGAAGTAGCTAAGAGAATGCGCCATCCCCTTTTCCTTATGAATCAGGGTGAAGTCTCTCTCAGGGAGGAGAGATAGGGAATGGCAAGGGACACACTGACAAGGGAGATTGATCAGAACTGGCTTTGGCGGGCACTGTGGCAATTGGACAATAAAAACAGACATGGGGGGGGGAGGAACGGACTGGGGAGGAGGGTGGAGAAAGTGGTGCAACAATGAATGAATGAAAACCCAAAATCTCTGTAAATGTTCATTAAAACTAGTAAGAAAAAAAAATAAGTTAGAGTAAGGATGGCAATGGATTTATAACTGCTCATGCTAATAACATTATATCGTGGCATGGAGGAGGAATAGTGGAACTGTGCTCACATTTATAATATTCTTCTTACCAAAACCATTTATGGAAAATAGGAACTGCACTGGAACATGTATCTCTGGATTGGAAATTATCATATTGTTAATATTTCTAGCCTTCAGCTTAAAAGATTATATTGTTCAGCAAGAAGTAGCTAAGAGAATATGCCATCCCCTTTTCCTTATGAATCAGGGTGAAGTCTCTCTCAGGGAGGAGTGATAGGGAATGGCAAAGGACATACTGACAAAGGAGATTAATCACAAAACTGGCTTTGACAGGCACTGTGACAATGCGACAATTAAAACAGACTTTCAAGGGGGAAAAATAAAGAGGAATGAACTGGGGGGGAGGGTAGAGAAAATAGAGCAACAATGAATGAATGGAAACCCAAAAATCTCTGAAAATGTTCATTAAAATTAATAATAAAAAAATACTGATTAGGAGGATCAAACACCACTGAAGTTAAAAAAAATATATGAAAATAAGAGTAGTGGCAAATTCACCACAAATACTTAAATGTGGGCTAATTCTAGCAAAAAGTGGAAAAAATATTGTAAAGAATACCTTAAAAATTATTATTAAAATGTCTACTGACTTCCTGGAATTTTTAAATACTCACTTGTAGCAGGTAGGAAGTGCCTGGATCTAGAGAGCTTATAGCTTCATTCTGCAGTGTGTTCTGCTGTGTAACTGCATCTTCTTCTTTCCGCTCTTTTTGCCCTGCTTCATCATCTTCATATTCATCTAGGCACTGGAAGAGAGAATAATTTCCATATGTAATTAATAAAATATTAACAGAAGGAAGATAAAACTGGTAGCAATAAAAAAAACTATTTGAGCATTAAAACTAATTTACACCATAAAAGTGCTCCTTCAGGCAATATGTAGAATTTCTATAAATAATTTTCAATTCACCAAAAAAAAAGTCAAAGAAGTTAAACTATCTACTTTTAAAACTTGTGTCTCCACACTGTAATACTGCCGAAATACCTTTTCTCTCAAATTTAACTTCCAGCACCAGGGTTTTAATAAAAGGGGTATAACTCCTCACTTACTCACCAAGTTAACAGAATAAGAAGCTCTGATGCTGTAATGGATTAAGCACTAGTTTGGTAGCAAAGGCTGGCAGTTCAAATTTACCTGCCACTGAAAAAACTGAAGCAGTTTGGTCTATAAACATTTACAGTCTTTGGAAACCCTGTGTGGCAGAGCCTGACTGTGCACTTTTTTTTAAAAAGGTACTTTGTTGAAGGTGAATTAAGAGCTTTTGTATTGTTGTGTGCTATTGAGTCAGAACCAACCCATACCTGGTTTAAAAGGCGGTTAACCATACGAAAGAAAACTGCCCATCCTTCTCTTGTGGACCAGCTGGTGACCTCAAACTGCAAGCCTTTGGAATTGCAGCACAGCTTCTTGCCACTAGGTCATCAGAGTTCCCCAAAGAGAGACATTATAGAGATGAAAGTTGTAATTCCGAAAGCAAGTGGTTCAAATCCACTAGCTCCTCCACAGGAGAAGGATGTGCAATCTCTTCCCATGCCTCTGAAAACACACTGGAGGGTCAGCTATGGGTCAATTCAGACTCAATGGTACACAGCAATAACATAAGAGAAGATTATTGTTCTTGTGTACCGTTGAGTTGGAAATGTCCCATAGCTGACCTTCTGGCAGGTTTTCTGGCAAGTTAATTGCATGGGAGGAGAGTGTCATCCTTCTCCCACATAGCAGCTAGTGGGATTTGAACCGCAGACCTTTAGAATTGCAATGCAGCTTCTTGCTACTAGGCCACCAGAGCTCTAAGAGGATACTGAGGGCAGGTATAATGGAAGCAGGAGTGGCATCCACTTCCATAAACAGCTTGCCTCCAGAAACTCTATGAACCTGGACAAAGGATGAAAGTCACACAAGTGTAGAGGACTTTTGTTCATAATAAAAGTACTGGTGGTTCAATGGTGGAATTTTTGTCTTTCATACAGGAGATCCAGGTTTGATTCACAGTCAATGTGCCCCAAAAGCACAACATTACCCACCTGCCAGAGATTTGTGTGATGCTAAGGCACTGGGCTGACAGACTAACGAAAGAAAGGCCTGACAATCTATTCAAATCAGTCAATGAATAGCTCTAGGAATCACAAAGCTCCCATCTAGTGCACATGAGGAGCATCATCAGGAACCAGGAGCACACCCAGCAGCAGGTAACAAGACATACATACAAGGTAATTTCCTAACTAGGTAGTTTTTATCAGAATATGGGAAGAGTTTGTCATTTAAAGAATAAACAGTTTGTCAATATCACAAAAACATGGAAACAGCCCAAATGTCCAATTACAACTGAGTAAGACTGAAAAATTATGGTACACTGTGTTACAATGGAATACTATGCAGCACTGAGAAGCAACGATTTTGAAAAATATTACCAAACTTTGGAGAGAACAGAGAACATTATGCTGAATGAACTAACTCACTCTCCTAAGGACAAACAATACCTAAGGCCGTTATTGTAAAAATAGAAGAATAACTGGTAAAACATGTATGGGAACTCAAATGGGGAAGGGGTAGGAGCAGAGGGCTGAGGGTGGAAAGGGGGCAAAATCACAGGGTTGCAGAGTTGGGGGGGGTAGAAGGAAGGAAATGAGAAGGATCCAAGTGAAAACATAGGCACAGTCCAATGGTGATTAATTTTATAAAACATAATGCCATGAGAATGATTATATTAAACACAGTATGAATGAGGAATAGTGTGAAACAGAATTGTAAGAACTCTGTAAGCAAACCAGTAATTTTTTAATTTTAGATGAGTTACAGTTGTTTCAATAATGCAAAAAATAGTTTTCCCAAATAGCAACACCAGTTTAAAAACATAATTTTAAAAATAGCCACAAAAATTAAAGTGGGAGAGAGGGGACACCCAATTAAAGCTATAAAAATTAATGTCAATATTTTTATTGAATGCTATAAATTAAAACCTATCATTAAACTGGAAAACAACTCCTTATACTGTAAAACAATAGTGTGTTATCACATTCTAAGGAAAATATTATTTTATTCAAATAACATTTGAATAAACTTTTAACAAAATTTCTAATGGAATTAATTTGAAAGATCAGAGTGAAAGAAAGAAAGAAAGAAATATATATATATATAAAGAATCATTTTCTTAAAAGCCTTTTAAGTAGTGGAATTAATTCTGTAATTAATAATACTGAGATAAAGGGTGAACCAGTTAAGAAAACATAAGGGCTGACAGGTAAGGGAGTATGATCTGAAAAGACTAAAGAGTTATCTTATTTCTACTCTTTGAAAATACTGTCCCTCATTCTTCAGCAACCTGGACTTCAAAAACCTTCCACTACAGACTCCAAAGTCAGTAGCCTGGAGCTATAATTCCTATGTCAAAGAGATAATGACCATCTTCAGCAATGTTGTTAGGTGCCCTCAAGTTGAATATGACTCAACAGATCTGAACCCTATCCCAACCTGTGCCATCCTCACAATCTCTGACACATTTTTGCCCACTGCTGCAGTCACTATGCAAATCCATTTGGTTGAAGGTCTATTTCACCAACGCCCTCCACCTTCCTAGGCAAGATATCCCTCTATAAGCTAAGACTCCCCCAAAGAGACCATAACTGACATCCAAGCAGATATACGCACACCCATGTTTATCGCAGCTTTGTTCACAATAGCAAGGAGTTGGAAACCTAAGTGTCCATCAACAAACGAATGGATAGAGACACTGTGGTATATTCACACAATGGAATACTACGCTGCACTGAAACACAAGAAACTCGTGCAATATAATAACAGGTGACCCTGGAGGACATTATGCTGAGTGAAGTATCTCATTCACAAATACTGGATGACAAAGGACAAATACTGCATGGTGCCACTGTTGTAAAACAGGACTGACCTTGGGGTTGGAGAGAGACTGAGAAATATAAGTTCAATAATGTATACTGCATTGAATCAGATGAGGGAGAAAACTATTTAAAAGGGTTATGTAATTAGGTATTTTTGTCATTACAGGAGTTTAGAGAGAAGGCTACATGGTAGAGTGGACCTGGGGGAGGGATTGTAAAACAATGAAGAATTTTTCTTTTACTTTTCAAAGAGGGTAGTGTACTAGGGAGGAGGGCTGGGAGGGGAGAAAAGTGCAACAATCAATGAATGGAAATCCAAAGTCTTTAAACTTTTACTGAAATAATAAATTTAAATAAAACAAAAAATAATATATAGCCTCTCTGAGCTACCATGTCCAATGTATGTCAGCTGAAGCTTTACCATCTTTGCTTCCAAGAAGAGCTCTGGCTGCAGCTTCTCTAAGACATATTTGTTGTCTGACATTCCATGAGATAGTCAGTACTCTTCTCTAATATCATAGCTTAAAGGCATCAATTCTTCTGTGATCCTTATTCACTGTCTAGCTTTCAGATGCATAACAAGTGACTGAAAAGAGCATGGCCTGAATGAGTCATGGCAGTTTCAATCTTCATTCATCATGATGCCTACAGGTTCAGTGGTGAAAATTTTTGCTTTCTTGATGTAAACATTCAATCCACATTGAAGGCTGAGTCTTTGATGTTCTACAGCAAAGCTTCAAGTCCTGTGCTCTTTCAGCAAGTGAGGTTGTGTGATATGCACAACAAAGGTTACTGAGAAGTGTTTTTCTAATCATGACGCCATATTCTTCTTTGTAGAGTTTAGCTTCTGAAATAATTTGCTCAGCATACAAAATGAATAGGCATGAAAGACACAAATCTGACACTCCTTTCCTAATTTTAACCAGGTAGGGTTTCTGTGCTCTGTTGGCAAAAACAGCCTCTTGGTCTAGGTACAGGTTCTCGTGAGCACTGTAAATGTTCTGGGATTCTCATCCTTCTCAATGACAGCCATAACGTGTTATGATACACAGAGTCAAATGCTTTTGTATAGTCAATAAAGAAGAGACAATCTTCTGGTACTCTCTACTTTCAGCTAAGATCCAGCTGACATTAGCAGTGATATTCTTGGTGCCATGATCTCTTCTAAATTCAGCATGAACTTCTGGCAGTTCTCTGTGTACTGTTATAGCTGATTTCAAATGATCTTATATTGTCATATTTATGTTTTGAGACATGTTGTGAGGAAGGGCAAGTTCTTGGAAAAAAGACATCATGCTTAGAAAGGTGGAGGGTCAGAAAGAGATTTTCAACAAGGAAGATTTGACCCAGAGATGTTAAAATGGGCTTGAGCATGTTGGAGATCTTGAGAATGGTGTGGGCTCTGTGGTCACTATGAACCACAGATAACTTGATGGCATATAATCATAGTCTTTTTCTATTAACTTTTGCTACATTTACTCCGTTAGTAAACCTTAAGGAGCCCAATTTAAGAAAGAAAAAGCTCAATAAACGTGTGATAAATGAATGGATGAAACAAATCAGGAAAATGGACAGTGGCTCCTCAAGCGGAAAGTCTGAATGCTCTTTTGTCACGGAAACACCATTACTCAATGACCGGGACCCTATTCATCATACAGAGTGAGTATCTACTCCTGTGTTGAGTGTGTCTTACATCCCCAGCAGTTCTTAAAACAGGGATTAGTTGATAAATCAGAACTTCCCTCTAATGCTCTGCCAGCTGCCAGTGTAGTTCTTTTGGCCCCAAGTATCCTACAAATTCCTTAAGCTATCTTATGTAACTGGGATAAATACAACTAGAAGAACAATTTAGTAGAAATGAGGAGGAATGGGAAGAAAGCAAAAAAGAATT